TAAACGAAATGAGACACCATTTGAGACATAAAGTACTAGCGGATCTTTGTGATCCATGTTGTACACCGGGAACAAATATCGTGAATGACATATACAAATGGGCCCATGTTGGAGTAGCAACAGGAAGAAGTAGACAGGGAAGAGAAAGAAAAGACCAACTTAAAAACAAGAAAAATGATTAAAGTAGGTAAATAAATAATAATAAAAATTAAGGAGAGTACGCACAGATGAGATGTAGTTGTTGAAAGAGCACAAATGATAAATTTAAGCTATGCTAGGTAGTTCGCGAGTATCAAGCAGCAAGAGTGAGTGTATTTGAAAGGCAAAGGTTTTATTTAGTTAAAAATCAGAACGACGTTACTGAAAATCTTCTGGTATTGGATATATAGTCACTGACCTCTTTTACGATTATTGCTATCTCATCAGATGTCAATTGACGTTGTAATAATAATGTTTTAGTGTCGATTTTTGGATTAGGAAGTTTATTGTTTAAATTAGATAGCAGTAGGCTTCTTTCGTTCTTATAAAGAACATAATCAAAAAAGAAATGATTTGATGTCTCAGGAGTCATGTTATCACAAGAACAGAACGGATTATCGACCCTGTCCTTGTCGTACAGATCTTTTCTCAACTGGGAAAAGCCAACTCTAAGACGACAATAAGTAATATCAATGTCACGATTTAATATTCGAGGTATTCTCAGAAACCGGGGTTTGAACAGCAAGCGAGATCTGAACTTCCCAACAGACTGAATCAACCTAGTTTTTAAGGGTAACTCATTATATTCACGTAATGTACGAAATATCATTGATTTAAGTTCATTTCAGTTGTGTTCCCGTATATAGCCGATCCGTAAGTGAATTGCTGAAAAATATAAGACTTGTAAACAAGGTTCAATGCTTGTCGAGACAGTGCACGTGTCTGTAATTTTAAAAGACTTGTTAACCGTTTTACTTTGTGTATGACATAACCAACGTGTGCCGTCCAGTCAAGATTGAATTTGATTACAAGTCCCAAGTGTTAGTGTTGGGAAACATAAGGGATAACATGTTCATTTATATAAATTGGTTGGAGCATAGAACTTGAAACAGGACGAGTAGAAAATAACATGACTTTACATTTACATGCATTTAAATGCAATTTCCACGCTATCGACCAGCCGTGTATGAGGATAAGATCTTCGTTGATCTGATCGGCAGCCATTTGTATATCATTTTCCTTTGTGATCTGGTAAAGTGAGACATCATCAGCAAAGGGTTTCATGGGTGACTTGACCCCCTCCATTATATCATCTATAAAGATGAGAAATAGAAGAGGTCCTAAAACACTATCTTGCGGTTCACTTCTATTAATCCTCCTTGCTGACCAGGATACACTCTCTACCATAGTCACTATTTCTCTGTTAGACAGGTAGCTAGCAAACCATTCAAACAGTGGAGGGGGATGCCCCTTTGCCTCAAGTTTCAACAGCAATCCTTTATGCCAAACACTATCGAACGCCTTACGAAAATCGAGGAAGACACCAAGTACCTTCTCACTGCTGACAAAAGCTAATAGTATCTAATGAACTATCACAATCAACTGATTTGTAGTTGAATCTCCCTTTTGAAAACCAGACTGATGCCTGCTAAGAAGCCCATAACTGGTTAGATACCCATAAAGTTTTCGATGGACGATCCGCTCGAATACTTTAGACAAAAGCGGTAGCAGAATTATTGGACGGTAATTAGAAGAATCATGACAATCCCCAGATTTAAACAAAGATGTTATAAAACCTATTCTCCAGCGTTTTGGATAGTATTTCTGCTTTAAAGACTCACTAAACAAATAAGTTATTATGGAAGTTATCGCCGGTGCTGCTTCCTTAAGTATCCTTCCGGACACACCACCAGGAGCACTGGCTTTATTGTAATCAGTTTTACAAAGTAGTTCAAATACTTCCGTTTCATGAATTTGAAACGTAGACATTAAATACCCACTCGGTTTAGGCTTTTTGCTGGGAATGTCGTTTGCTTCTACATACGATATAGTACAAACATCTGCAAAATGATTATTCAGCAATTCGGCCTTATGGGATGAATCACACACAAGTTCATTTTTTATTTTGCCCAGTAAAGGGGGAATTGACGTTGCTGCTCCCCTGCATACACTACTCTTTATCGTACGCCACCAGCACTTTGATGAAGTGTTCATATCTGTCGACAGTTTTCTGTAATACGATTTCTTTTCTCGTCGACATTCCTGTTGGAATTTTTTGAAGCTTCCATATATTCTTTTTCAGCAGTTTATGTTTTCTGCTGACATTTTATTTTATACAAATCATGTTTAATTTTGCTCATGTTCCTCAGTTTATCCGTGAACCAGGGTTTATCGTTTGATCTCGCGGTAATATATTTATGAGGAATAAGCTATTTCTTAGATTTTATTTTCTATAGTTGCCACGATATCGTCTAATGTTAGACCATGGATCAGACCGAACCAATCAATATTGGAAAGCTCTTGCCTGAAAAGGTCCCAGTTCGTTAGACGATAATCATAAATGCACCGTTTGTATTCTCTTATCGGAGTATTTAAGAAAGAATAAGAAATTTGAACAACATCATGATCGCATTTAGAATAAAGTTTTGGAAGAACAATCACCTTATTTACGTCAGAAATATTATCAGTAAAAAACAGGTCAAGACAAGAGTGAAGTCTTGTTGGTTTGTCAACTAACTGAAATAGTTGCACATTATCGGCGAATTCGTGGAAATGTTTACCTTCACTAGTAGAAGATTTCGTTTCACACCACTCATAACAATGTGCATTAAAGTCTTCGAGAATGACAATGTTAGTGAATTTGTATGTGGCTTTTGTTCTTATTTCAAACAGACTTTTTTCTAAATGATTCGTGAACGCAGTGACGTCCACTCAATCTGGGCGATAACATGCTGAAATAACGAATGTTTTATTCGTTGGAAATGTGACAGAGAAAAATATTGTTTCGTATAATTGATCTTTTTAATTCTAATGGGCGTTTACACTGGAGGTTATTACGAACGTACACGAGTATTCCTCCACCAGTCATTTCTGCTCTATCTTTTCTTAACGGAGATTGATAGTCAGCGATAAGTAAATCATCATCGGATATATTGGCATTAAGCCAACTCTCAACCATAACGGCAATTGTCGGTTTATATTCATCCATATAATCTATAAAAAGCTCTAACTTAGTCACTTTTACAACGTGTTGTAACCCGCTAACTTTCTTCTCAACTGTGGCCTTCAACCTTCTAGTATTGAACAACAAAAAATTTTCATCAAGCGTCTGATTTTTCTTGTCCACGTTTTTATCCACGGTCATAATAAAATATGTTAACAAATACACACACTGCTACTACTTGACACATAAGATAATGGAAAGAAGAAATATTTTTAAAGTTGTTACGCATATTTGTACTCTTTTCATAGATGATGAAGAATGAGATATAAGTAGATGTAATATTAGAATAGAAAGAAAGAGAAAAAAGACTTTTATTACTCTTATAGTTTTGTGCACGTGTTTGCATAAAATATGCTGATGAAAAAATGCATGACTACATACCGGATCATGGGGTTTATACGTAACTTTGTACTTTGTTTAATAGTTATCTAATATTTATTAGTTATTCGAGCGAGCTAAGTCGTCAGCTTCTTTTTGTGTGTGAATATATATCAAGTTATGCAATTCAGCAGAATAATTAACCGTAGTTTTAGAATCATTTAATTAATAGATCAGCTTCACTTCCACCATCGTCTATGAAAAATTTCTTGGCTTATAGTTGATGTCGTTAAACCGATGACTCATCATTTTACAGCCTAATTTTGCGGTATCGCCATCTACTACTAATTTGCCGTTGTTGATTTTGAAACTCTGCTAAATTAAACAATCATCTAAACGTTGAACTTTTAAGCCACTTTCAGGTCTTAAAAGACGGTTGAGTGTTTTTATTTTGCTGACTACTGTATTTGCACTCAAAGATTTTATATGTCACGTAGCTATATAAAACTAAGTCTCGCATTTCATATAGTTTTTGAAGCTCAAGCCTAACTGGAGATTGGTGGGATTGGTTCCAAGCCTAACTGGTAACAAGCCCAACTGGTACCAAGCTTAACTGATACCAATCCCGGCTTAGTACCAATCCTCCAAGCCTAAGAGTGGAACTGGTACAAGCCTAAGCACAATTTCGATGTTCTATCTCTGCTATATAGTTGAACTCGATCGGACGTGTGCTCCGCGAGGGGGGTGAGGGGGGGGGGGGGTGTCCCGTTAGTCTACTGAATTATCTAGTTGCCATTTTAGATTAGTTTGTAGCTTTATTCCAATAACGGTTTGAAAAAGAGCGAGCCGTTAGCTCGACAAGCTCATATGTTCTGAATTCAGACGCTGTCGACTACTGAAAATGATTCTCAGTTTAGACTTACAATTTTGGAGAAAAGGTTTTTTGATTTTTGTGAGCGATTTTTCAATAGCTATGGTTAGTATAATTAGCTCGCACTCTTTAACGTCCACCTAAAACTCAACCAAACCTCAGTTTTTGCTTGAAAAACATCTTTTTAAAAGGATTTTTTGGCTTGAAGGTTATTCTCTGAGCGATAGACAAGCATTTCTGAGAGAAGAGAAATCGTTTGTGATTAAAAAAGATCACATGTTCACATGCTATGCGAAAAACGCATTCTGTGCAATTGTGATAGAGTACCATTGTTTACCGGAGGATAATAAATTTCTTTTCTGCTGTAATCAGACGAGAACAAGAGGAAAATTATTGTTTCTCTTCTTTCCTCCATAACCAAGACGTAAATCAGCATGGACTTATAAAACGTAAAAAGGAATGAAAAAAATAACGTTTTATTAATATTATTATTATTATTATTAGTAGTAGTAGTAGTAGTATTATTTGAAATGAAATTTCGAATTTCCGATTCATTAGACAGAATTATACGTTCTCTCTCTAGTTTTGTTCCAAACAAAAATACATTTCATGTCGTCTAAATCGGAATATCCTGCTGCTGCTGCTGCTAGCAAAGTCACCGATGGTGAGTCGAACCAACATTTACGTTACTTTGACCTAATCAAAGAGCCCATTGAAGTTCTTCTGCCTGTTGAAGGCTATCAGGATGTAATTCTGATGCCATTAGATATAGCTGTCGAAGGACTAGAAGAAATAATCCCGGATGTGCAACAAAAAGCAAGGATAGCCAAAGCGCGCTGTCGTGAACCATGTCCAGATGGTCTTACTCAAGATGAGTCGGCCGCTATTCTTTTATATACATTCGAGTGGATACCATACCAACGATGTCTCTATTATCGATTGAACGAAACGCTACGAAGTAAAGATCGTCGACAACTAATACGCTGGTTTCCATATTTAAAACTCGTTTTAACAGCCTTATTTAAATTACCATCTGTTCGCCAAACAGTGTATCGTGGTGTCAAAATTGACAAAAGTCAAGATTATCAAATAGGAGCAGTAGTTCCCTGGTGGGGCTTTAGTTCTTGCACCGATACCCTTGCAATGTTAGAATCTGAACAGTTTCTTGGCAACCGTGGTACACGTACTCTGTTCAATATCGAATGTTTCAATGGTAAAGTCATTAAATCTCATTCGTACTACAAGCATGAAAATGAAGTTCTTATCTTACCGGCCACACAGTTCAGAGTTATAAGTAAACTGAATCCGGCACCTGGTCTACATATAATTCAACTACGCGAAATTACTGATCCAGAATTTCAATTATTAGAACCACCGTTCACGATACCTGTTAATCGAGAATTAGAAAGACTAATAAAGCACGGTAAGAACGAAGTAGAAATGGATTTAGACGGTCAGCAGCTAACAGATCAAGATATCAAAGTCGTAGTAAAAGAACTGAAAAAAAGTCGTTGTTGGAAAAAGCTCAGTTTGGCTTCGAATCGATTTACAAGCGTAGCTGCGGCATATTTAAGCGAAGCACTTGAAGAGAATACAGTGTTAACTGCTCTCTATCTATATAATAACCAAATATCGGATAACGGGACAAGATACATCTTTCATGCATTGAAAATCAATCAAACAGTAAAAGAAATCAATTTGAATTCAAATTATATAACAGGCGATTCGGTATCGGAAATTTCAGAAACACTGAGAATTAATAAGACATTAGAGAGACTTCTCATTACTGGTAATAAAATACGAGACAGAGGTATGCAATCACTTACAAATGCCCTAAAAACGAACACTACACTACTTGAACTCTATGTTGCGGATAATAACATAACGGATGCGAGTGTCACTTCTATAGTAGATATGTTGGAAGTTAATCGTACTTTAACGTCATTGAGTCTACGTGATAATCAGATATCAGACCAAGGTAAACATACTATACGACAGGCGGCGAGAAAATATAACAATTTATCACTAATCACATAACAATCGAACAAAAAATGGATAACGGAAAAACTTTGACTCAATGAAGGCACCATTATGTTTGAACACAAGAGAGGATAAAATTTTAAAATCACAGTATTACAACTCTGACACATATAGGTGCAAAATTTTTCATATCAAACGGAATCTTTTGACTTGGAAAAAAACTTTTTTCTGTAAAACAGACACCACTGTATTTTCTTGGTGGATCCAAACTGTTCCAAGTATTCCAAACTATTAAAACATCTCTACATACGTCCTCGAAAACTGCGAAAATGAAGCAAATAAGACCACCAAGGTCGACATCATACCTAAATTCTATCCAAAATCACAGTAAATATTTCTTCACACAGAATGAATATTTTGGAATTGCCGCAACCTCAAAATTATAACTTTGCTACAATCCAAAATTGATATACCATCTGCCTATACTCATACCTATATGTACTACCCACACATACCCGTGCCTACCCATACATATCTAGGTATGGTCATATCTACTCGTACCTACGCGTACCTACTCATGCCCTGACGTTGCAGCAACACTATTAAGTGGTGTTCGATCTAGTAACTGAATGTTATGTCCATCAACTGACTTTCAAACAAGATCCCACTCGTACACAAACATTCGCATACTGCCTGCTACACAATCTGGAACTTTAGTGGCAAAAAAAAAATTGTTCATGATGAGTTATGCATTTTTTATTGTCAAAATTAGACTACACCTCCCGTTTTGTATATCATATTTGTAATCAGGAGCATAGATACCCCAAAGTGTTTCCTACAGAACGGGTGCCAGTCCAGACCTTGGTTTTCAGTAATTCAGCTTCTTGTTCAGCGTTATCCAGTTTCGTTCGAGACCCACGATTGATGCCTGGTGACTTCTGATGACATTAAAATTACATGATACATACGTAGTCGGCCACCCTAAATCTCGTGGCAATGTTCGTTTTTCGAGACGAATTAAAGAACATAGATTGATACTGCCATGGAAAAAAACATGTTTTTATGATGCGAGTTTCAGCGTTATGGCTCGGTTTCCCAGGGACCAGCTGGAAAACTGGGTTTTCAACAAATTTTGAAAGAATCAGTAACTTGAAAATAAAAGTGTAAGGCACCACAGTGATACCAGTCCGCATTAATTAGTACTTATTAACAATCTAACGGTTGAGAGGTACGTGATTCTATTTAGTTGCATTCCTAATTACAAATATGATATTCGTATTACTAAAACACTGAAAAACGGGAAGTCTAGTCTAATTTTGACAATAAAAAATGCATAACTCCTCGTGGACAATTTTGTTTGCCACTAAAATTCTAGATTGTGTAACAGGCAGTATGAGAATGTTTTTGTGCGAGTAGGGTCTTGTTTGAAAGTCAGTTGATGGAGATATAACATTTTTAGTTACCCTGAGATTTTAAAAATATCGCCTTTTTTGAACCGTTTACTTTCTTCTTAGACTTATACCATACCGCAAGTACATCTACAAATGGACAATGACATGCTCTGTCCAACGGTGAAAAGCGTTTTTCAGAAAATTTGAAGACTATTGAGAAAAACATTTTTTATTGCGTAGGTATCACATCGGTACCCATCGAGCAAACTTTTTAGTTTTCTTAACAACCATACAGCAGTAAACTCTCAAAACTATCAAGGCATATGCACCTTGTAACTGATTTAAGGTAATTTATTTAAAAGTATAGCAAATGGTAAAAGGTATACTACATGGAGAAAGATATGGAAGTGACAATAAGAAGAGCAAAGAAAGGCAAACAACAACTGATAAGGTAATAGAAAAAGTTAATAAAAGTCAGAAATAAGATAGTTATGAAGACCCGTGGCGGACACATCCAAAATGCTGCTGAGGTGTGTATACTTAAAGAAGAAAATACATTTTTCATAAAACGTTCAGTATTTATAATATAGGTTATCGTCAATTTGTATATTTCTACTAAATCAACCTGTTGAATAGTATTATCTTTGAGTAGTAGTAAGGGAAGAGTAATAATCGTATTTGGCAAAAAAGTGGCTGTTTGACAAAATAAAATATTCATTTTGATAAGATGGGCAATGCAGTATTTAGTGTTCAAATGTCTCAGTCTCTCCACACTCTCAAAACTGATCATCTGTTAGGCTTCGTTTGTGCAGATCATATTTTAATTGTGTAAGACCTATGCGATAACGACAATAGTTGATTTCACATATGCGCTCTTCTGAAATGGGAAACTTTCGTTCTATGCTGTAATAATTTTTTCTCCCCTTCTAGTTCTCTACTTTACACTATCAGAACAAATCAAAATGCAGAGATTTTTGAAAACCTGCGGTGTCCTTCAATACTTCTATTTATTAGGCAACGAATGGATAACCACACAGAAAAAGGATTATTAATTAAACAACCAACCAGGAGATTCCGGCGTACTTCTGGCCGGGGGCGCAACTACTGTTCGTGGGACTTGCCATAGCCCCTCTCGCTTTTAATTTCAGTACGCCCTTGCTTTTAGCTGTAACAGCAGAGATGTTGTTGTTATCATAGCTAGTTTAACTTAATTTTCAGTATTATATTCAGTTCACGTGCGTAGATGATTTATTACAAATAACTTTCCTCGTCTACGCTAGTAAAAAACGTAGCAGGATTATAAGATACTTTATCTGGAAATTGACAACCCATTTGTTGCAGTTTTTCATATTCACAATAAAGTCCAGCTTTCACACATTCATCGATTGTTTTGTTTAAGGCCACATACGCTAAAAAACCTAGAAAAAGATATAGACGCGTTCAAATTCTGCACAAATGAAGCCAAAGTGCCCCAGGCTTCAGTTTGTTCATAGTTTCTGCAGAGCTTTATATATATAAAGTAGGAAGAAAAGAAAGAGATGGGAGTCAGAGATCGGGCAAACTCACGAGCCGAGGCTGGCAAGCTTCTTTGGTTTTTCACGAGTTCGGAAATTTCTTAGTTGGAAGACAGACAAAAGTCGACGATTCTAACGAATTTTACACTTTTACTCCATGTACGTGGACAATTTTCAACTCTTATATTGGCTAGACCGTACTGACCTAAAGTTGCATACGGGTAGGGCTACAAAATATCACACTGGACGATCTCTGATTGGAATATGTTTACCACCTCAGGTGGTATGGAAAAAAAGTTGATGATTTCATCTAACTAACCTCCAGCAAGGGCATCACCGCATCCGTTGGTATCGACAATCTTCGATGGTTTTTTCCACAAATACTCTTTCACTCCGTCACCTAGATGTAAAAAGAATGTTTAAGGCATACGCCAGTACTCATGTGTAGGTAGTTTCTTTTACTTGTGGCAACCAAAGTCCAGTCAGGGATCTTCGTAATAAGTACCACACGCTGTCGACTGGGATACATTTTTGGACTGTCGCGTATTGCTTTTATTATTGTATGAATATCATTTGACTAAATCACCACACACATTCAGGTTATGCAAGTGCTGATATAGAGGTCAATACTCACGTCGACCTGTAATTGTACTTTGCCAAAAACTTTGGCTTCCTAAATTCACACAGATTTGGTAAGGGAAAAACCAAGTTCTATTTTGTTGTAGACAAAACTACTTACTTCTTCACAACCAAGTACAAAATCAGCATATTGTAATGCACTCAAAATTCTCCCACCGTATTTTTCCTCACAAATATATACCGCAGATAAGGTCATACATAACATTTTACGTTTTAAATTAGCGTACTCGCATACTTCCATAAATGCATCTCTGGATGAAACAACAAAATAACCCTGAACGAAAATATTTATCCTAGAAACTTATGTACCAAAAATACTTCTTAAAATTTCTGCTACGTAATCTGAAAGAGATGATCCGTAAACACGGTAATAAAACCATAATTACAAGTAAAGTTCATCTGCGATTCACTGACTCTTGATTGAAAGTGTAATCAGTGCAATTGTATCACTAATGAAACTTACCAATCTTAAGCACAGAGAAGGTTGAGAAGATAAAACAGAGTTAATTTTGATATTTTGAAGTAGTCTGGATCGATTTCGAGTGAATTATGAATTTTTTTCATTTACGGTGAAAAATGCATTATTTAACATAGTATAGGTTTCCACTAGGTTTCTGAGCTTTTGTCTCCAAACACATATTGCCCAAGCTTCAGAATAGTCGAGAACCTATGCTCAAATCACCTCCGAGATTGCCAGACATCAAATGGAGGTTTCAGATTTTCATGGATGTACAGTATAGCTGTCAGTGTGTTCTGCATATTTTGAAACTATATGTTGCTATGGAGACGCAGCAATCGGCAGTGTTGCCTACGGAAGACCCATCAGCTAGACCACTTGCAGACAGGATTTTGGACCTGTTATTTTTACCAATACAGTTCCCACAGAGACTTCTATAAATTGGCGAAAACTGCATCTGTTTATCGTTTGTTTATCAAACGTTATCCTGAAAAGAGTTTTCTGCAGTATATTTTTTAATGGATAAGAGTTCGGTTAGTTTTGTTCAATAAGGAGTTTTACAAAATAATATAAAAGATAAGACAATGGGAAGCGTCTAGTATACTGAACAAGAAATTGTCTAAATGCTTACTTCTGAGCAAATAATTTTTGCTTTTTGAACGTAAGCCCAGTTTTCTGGATTTTCAAAATGATCAATAGAAAAGTGTTGTGATGCTCCAAGGCTGGCCACCATTGATCTACAAAAGTTTTTGCACTGAAATATGTTATCAGTCAAGTTGAGGGTTAACATACCGGTTATTGGGTGTTATGAGTATGGCACACTTTCCTGTTGCTAAATGTGGCTTAATTTGATAAGCTAAAGTTAAGCCTGCTAATTCGGCTACTTGTTTGAGCGACTCATGGTGCAAATCATCGCCAACACAGCCCATAAACGTTGCAACATGAGGCTGCTGGAGCAACCACTGCAATAAAAACCGTTTTGAACATTTTTGTAACATAACTTTTTATTCAGCTTACAGTGATTGTTCTCATCATATTCTGCGTTGATCCACCAGCAACAAACCTAGTATTAAACTTTCTTCCAAGCTTATCGAATCTACACAAAAACGCTACTTCAGATTGGATTTTCTTGTTCAGCTTCAAAACCTACAGTCCTTCGTGTTCTTCTAGTGCTATTATTGCATCGTTTGCTTTCAGCTTGTACCTGAAAATACAGTAAAAAGTGAATTTCTTCGTGTTCTACAATATTAAGGTAAGCTATAACCACTACACTTACTCTCTCAGTACTATTGGATCAACAGTAGCGGTGATATCGAGTAGCGGATTACCGATTCCAAAGAAGGTGCCATCGCTAAAATACAGTATTTACTGTTCGAGAGTGATCATAATTTGGCCGGTTTTACCTCAATATTGGTGTTTGTGAGGAGACCGGGTCATTTTCTGTGGACTTCTTTTCCGTTATAGTATTGAATATCGAACTCGATGATGTTCTTTGCACCGTGGCCGATGAAGGTCTAATCGAAGACATTGATACGAAACACCTTAAAAAGTATAAAAATACTGATCTGTTTAGATCGCTGTATAAAAAAACGTGTTCTGTTTAGTTCGCAAGTTAATAAATTTAAAGAAGTCATTAACGTTTTCTAAATTTATTCCTGAATGTACTACAGAATGTGAATAATAGAATACGGTGTCTGTTACATATGTTATCTTTGTTTACTCACGAAAAAAGGTCAAAAAAACATACTGTTGTTACTGTTCTGACAGCCACAATATTATTATTGATCATAGAAATACCTCTCGTGCTAGCTTTTAGCACCTGAGTCTGTTTAATTTTTTCAACAGTTTTACAATCACTGCTCACTCTAAATAATTCATGATGATTGAATACTGAAAGAAGCCAACTGTTGTCGACGGCCAGAGATACAAAACTCAAAGAATCTTGGATTGGTAATAATCGTACTTCAACTGATTTTTGTACGTTCATTGATTCCGGGTCACGTATTTCAAAACGATCATATCTTGCCGTTTTCAGAGTCACTCCAAGTAGCGATCCATCCAAAGACAAGCGCATACAGTTGATCGACTCATTTCGATGGCACGATTCCGGTGCTTGCCATATATTTGACTGTCGCCAGCTGGATATTGTCCATTCTTCTATTGAAGATGCCTTACCATAGTAACACAAAAACAAACTATTACCTGAACACGTGCATCGCCAAAATTCTTTTCCTTTTGGCAGTTGAATTTCTTCGACTTCCGACAATCGTTTGGTATTAGGATCTAAAGTAAATACTGTATCGTCTGTCAGAACAATAAAATATCGTTGAGATCGACACCAACAAATGTCAACAACGTCTACCAGCTTGGAGTTTCCGTCTGTGGCATTTCGAGGTTCAATTTCTTTTACAGGGATTACAATTCTATATTTGGCATGTGGATCGACCACACACAGATCATTATTGTCCTGATAAACGAAATATTTATCGGAACCGGCAATGCTACGGCCTTCCCCTGTTGAATATATTTTATAGAACGGATAATTGGCAAGGTTATTATAATTTATTTGACCACCTTGAGTAACTGGCGTGGGCGATTCTTCAGTAATTTTTATTGTTTCATTCCAGTCTATCTCTAAACCAGCGTCTGTTTTAATGCGAATGCATGCTGTTAATTCATTTTCAATTTCAGTGTTTAGTTTACGAAGATCTGTCTTGAACTGAGGAAGATGCGTTTCTATATAGTTTTGTGCATCTTTCTTCGTCGACAATTCCTTCGTTGTCGGCTGAAAACGCTCAATGATTTCGTCATGTCGCTTGTACATCATTTCTTTTATGGTTCGTCGTGCTCGCTTAGCAATTGCTTCAGCTTTTGATTTCATATATTCTTCGAATTTATCAACATCGTGTTGAAGAGCCGCAGGATTAAATCTATTTGAATCTGCTAACACTTTTAACATGATATCATATTCATTAATTGATTCATTATCCGAATTATTTGTGGAAACTTGATCCCGATGTCGTTTAAAACAATTTAAACAAAACGATCTGTAACATCCGATGCATACGCACGATGCCTTCTTTTTATCACAGTGGTCGCAGTTGAAGCTAGCTTTTATGGGAAACGCTGTTAACGTTTGACTGTGTTGACTGATTGTGCTTGCTGTTGTTGCTCTACTCATATTTGAGTTACCTTTGCATAAGAAAAGATGGAAATGGAAATTAAATAGACGAAAATTCTTGGTGTATCTTTCTTCAGAAAGTTCTCGGTTTTCTACAACAAAAATGTATTTATTTTCCGGCGAATACAGAAACCAACACATTATCTCAAATGCAGGCTTTGTTGGTTAAAACTCTTCTCAGGGACTGATCTAGATTCTAAACGTTTAAACAAGATCCATTACCCTCTAAAGAAAAGCTAATGCTTCTAAAGTTTGTCAAGAGTTCTGGAAGATTCTTCGCCGCTAAGGACTTTCTACTCTCTAAAAAGAAAAGAACCAGAAAAAGGCATTTAATCTTGGGAGTCACAAATGCCGATACCCCTTTTTTTGATTCTATGGAATTAGAAACAACCCTTAACCATATTTTACAATGCCATTTTGGTATTTCAGTGTACCCTTTCTGGTTTTGTAAGATTTCTTTGAGAGTATTACTCATTCCTTAGAACCAAAAAAAGAGATTATGTACACTTGTTACTCAAACATTCCAAAAGGGGTATCCCGCATGGAAATACCCTTTTTTGGTTCAGTACGATATGAAATTTTTTAGAGAGTAGCGTCCCTGTCTCACGACGGTTGTCAAGTTTTTCACAACAGATTGAGATGATTTGGACATTCTAATCGCATGCTGTACAGTGATGGTGAACCATCGGTAGTGAAAAAGATTATGCTTTCACCCTTTCCTGAAGAGAAACGGCCTCGAAATATTGGTATAAGGAAGGGATGAGAAGATAAAATTCAAAATGATATACAAACTCCGAATATTTTCAACTGGAGAAGATAAACTCTCGATAGAGATCAATGGCGTGAGTTGATCAACCAGAATACCCAAACTAGGCCTATTCATCCAAATATAAAAGAGATTATTTTTGAGTATAAACAACGTGCGGTCGAACGTAGAGGAAAGGATTTGGCAGCATCTCATGGAGTAGTACAGCGAAAAGTTACAGAAGTATTAATTAGAGACACGAATGGTAAATACATCTGTCCTGGTTGTGATAAATTCTTTAAGCCTCAGGGAATTACGAAGCACGTAAAAACTTGAGCAAAAGATTGGTGTATAAAAAACAAAATCAAATGAATGAAGTAATGGAACAGCTAATAATGAGTGTTAGGCACCTATTGAAATTTGAACTTTGTGAGAACGACGGTTACTATTTAAACCGGTCTCAGAAGGTGGTATCGTGATGGAAAACTTAGCTTCAATTCCAGTAGTGACCAACAGAACATTCGTCAAATAAAGCACTGTCAGTTGTTTTTTTTGTGTGTTTTTATTACTTTGTTCTGATTCTCACCCTACACCAGTGACGGTAATGAGTATAACTAACTAACCAAGTTTTCCAGAGGAAACTTTTTAAAACAGACTTCAAAGCCGAGTCTAAACCTCTCAGTTGAATTTGACTTGATATCTTCTAATACCTTTTTTTGACAGTTTGTACATAAATTTTTCGCAATAATACTACTATCGGGATTTTTAAAGAAAGCGCGTGAAAGAAAAGCTTATAACTTTTGAACGGAAAGCCATAGCAACCTGTGGTTTTCAGGGTTCAATGGACGACAGTTGGGGACACATGCCAACGTGGAAAAGTGATCTTCCTAGGTACTTTTTCAGACCAGATTTAGCCTACGAAATTAAGGACAAATTAGCGAACTTTTTAGAAGGAATTTTTTTCGCAGGGTTTGCACCCCGACATGCCCTCTTCACATTGGTATCTAAGCAATTTCTAGATTTCGCTTCCTTGAAAAACCCGAGGACTTTTAAGGAAGAAACTTCATGTAGACTAACAGATATGCCACGCGAGAATGAAAAACAAGATATATATGTGCGTGAAAGTTGTTTAAGTTATTTCTTTGGAAATATATGTTATTCTGTTTTAGATAAATTCTTTATTCATAATGCCGAAAGGAAAAATCACTTTTCCACGTTGGCATGTGCCTCCGACTGTCGTCTATTGAACCCTGAAAACCGCAGGTTGCTATGGCTTTCCGTTCAAAAGTTATAAGCTTTTCTTCCACGCGCTTTCTTTAAAAATTGCGATAGTAACTTCCAGGTCAACCTATAGGTCTATCTCAGAAACTTCCAAGTCACGTTCAAGGTCGATTTTCACAACAACCAAAAACAATGGAATTTCTGGGATTTTACTTTCGGAATCGTTTAGTTTAAAATATTCCCAAAAAAAGTTTTGGAAAAACTTAGATAATTTGCCTCATCTGAAGTACTACAATCAAAATCATAAGCTTTTTTTAAACAAAACATATGCATGTAGCTTGAAAAAGGAAATGACTTTTAAGCGAGTGAAAATACCTTTCTGGTTCAGATTAACGTCAATTATACACTCGGATATTGTTGAGGACTGATGTGTTTTTGTCGTTATACGGTATCCAAGTGCATTGCAATGCGTCTTAAAAGTGCTACCATTTCATGAAACGGTCTTGATTCAGCAAATTCGCGAAATTTATTTTATTTTCTATAGCTGTCTTCCTACATCACTGTACTGATATTTCTTATCTGCTCAAAAATTAGTAAAAAGAAATTAATATATATACCGGTTAATCGAAGAACTAAAAGCCTAACTTCTGTTAGTTCAGATTCAGAGTTTCAACGGGGAAACGACTTCCTGCAACCAGCACTAAAGAGATGAAAAACATAGCGACTTTGTCCTTCATTTATGTATGATAGACAGTGTCATTCTTCTAAGATAGTAAACAGACATACGCAGAAATAATCAGTTACCTTTACGAACGCCAATCGAAAAATTAGACAGTATATATCTATGTCTCAATTTTATTTGCAGCAAAATTCACTTTATTTCAATTTGTAATTTACTTACATCATCGTCAGTACAAGATTTTAATGAAAATTCAAAACAAACTAAACTAACACATATTTTGACCAGTTGAGGAAAAACGAAAAAAAGAATAAAAAGAAAGGACCTCGTGTATGTCTAAATTATTACATTAAAATCTTGTACTGACGATCATGCAGTAGCATCAAAATATCTGTTGTAAATAAATTACAAGTCGGAATAAAATGACTTTAGCTGCAAACAAAACTGAAACATTTATTGTAAAAGTCCTGCCAGCTACCCAACTAAGTTAGACAGTATATCTTTGTCATAAACGAACAATAGATGTTAACAAAATAGCATATTAAAGACGGGTGTATGTTTTATTTCGTTTAAACTATATTTATTTAAAGACATATGTTTTATTTGCTTTTATATACCTGTGTTAATGGTAAGAGAATTGTTTTGCTTTCTGTTCGTTTCTAAGGCAGGTGTAGATATGCATCAGTGTCAGTTAACTGGAATGAAAAAACTGACGTCAGTTTCCAGTTTGTAACTGAAATTGATGCATACCGAGGCAAGTGAGTGCAGCAGAAAAAATGAGTTACTCGTGTACAACACCACCTAAACGAAAGATGAAAATTACAGCACGCACGCGTACAGCCTTCTTAACGCTAAACTATACAAGAAAGTATTTTGTAGGTTAAAATGTAAATTTATGGAAAAGAGAGTATAAATTTACCTGAGATAGGATCCAGTTACTTAGCTCGAGATGATGTCCTGTACTGCATACATTTTTCTATCACTATAAATGCTGTGTATTATACAGTCAAAGCCGCTGCGAAGAAAATTCGAATTAAATGAGTTTAGTTTTAACTAAATCTCACACTGATGGCTCTTTCTCGATTTATTTAGAAAGTGATATAATTTTTTAATCTACATGTGGATTAGAGAGCTGATTCTGCCTGACACATTGACCTGTTGTCCTTCGTTTTTCTTCTCTTCTGCTCATGCAACAATCAACAGAAAGAGAAAAGTGCTGTAGCATAAGTATACACCTCCTTTCGCTCTTTGCTTCTTGCTTTCTTTTCTTTTTTCTTTCTGAGTGTTTCTGTTACAAACACTAAAGATCTAAAGCCTTTACGACTGATTACTTCTCAAAGTCTCTCCGGCATTGATCGTATTTTTCAAAATAATCTTCATTTGGAATTATGACGTTTGATCAAACTTTTTCAGATCAATGCAAATGTTGATAACACCACAAAAACCGGCTTTGACTTTTTCTAGAATTAATTCGGAATTTTCTGGATGCAATGCGTGAAATCATGCCAAATTCATGACGGATACGGTTCACCGTTCGACGACTGATCGTCAGATTTTGATTCGTTTGAGCATGTCGAACGAGGTTGGTGAACGAAAGAGTATCATCCCGAAGCTGTTGAAGTTTGAGCGCCTGTTTTTCATCATATGTTACTGTCGGATGGAGTCCAGTGCTGACGAGGGAAGTACCCCAACTGATAAATCGCTTTTTCAACGAAACCGAGTGGACTATGGGTAGTCGACGATGCTGATTCCGAATATCACTATGAATGCTGCTGCTAGGTGTTCAAAGGCCGGTCTTCTGGAAAACCAGTTTTCGAGAAACTCTAAATAACAACCAAAAGCTTTCTTAATGAGGCGTACTTGTAGTCCATAAATTTCTGATTGAAATGAGGCATCTCCCAGCTCTACATGACCTTTCTTTGCAAAGTTATAGAGTTTACAAGAAAAGCCCTAAATGTTCATTGTCACGTCAGAGCTACAGAAAGAAAAACGAAAAATGAATTTAGGACTATTCTTGTAAACTCTATAACTTTGCAAAGAAAGGTCATGTAGAGCAGGAAGATGCCTCATTTCAATCAGACATTTATGGACTACAAGTACGCCTCATTAACAAAGCTTTTGGTTGTTGTTTAGAGTTTCTCGAAAACTGGTTTTCCAGAAGACCGGTCTTTGAAGACCTGGCAGCAGCATTCATGGTGATATTTGGAATCAGCATCGTCGATTACCTATAGTCCACTCGGTTTCGTTGAAAAAGCGATTTATCAGTTGGGGTACTTCCCTCGTGAGTAGTAGATCGGTCAGCCGCAATTAGATAACAAAAGCTGTTATAAGTTTTGCATTCACTTCTCAACTCACATATTTCATTTTTAGTTTCTGCAGTAGAGGATTATCTACCCTGTCAATCGATTCAAATAGCACCAGAATGAAGACATGTTTGACTTTTTTCCTCTTCTGTCTTTTGAAAATTATATGGCAAACTCCGTAGTAATTTCGAAGACATGTGCTGATTTTCGTCTCTTTCTCAATCGTACACGTCGTCAAAACTTGTCTCGAGGAAGTAGTAACTGGTTCTGGTTCTGGGTGTCAATGATGGTACCATGGACCTGGAACCGAAAATGTTAAAAATTTTGAAAACTGTTAGCTATAGTTGAGGTACTAATAAGAAAACATTAATGAAAGAAAACGCTCAAATAATTGACTGTTAATAGCCACCAATGATGCAAAAACGGTCATTGCTTGGTGCTATTAACTGCCTGTTTTCAGTGCGTTAACAAATGCCAATTTTAGAAATTAAAACGTTCCCATGTATACAAATATCATACGTTAAATA